GACTTTTTTGCCAACAGAGACCTGTCAGGGAATCAACTGAGCGGATCACTTCCATCTCAGATCGGGAGGTTAAGGAATTTGAAAATTCTGTGAGTGATCTTTTAAAAAGCTTGTGTGTTTTATCCGTGTGGTTCTTGGTCTTCAATAGCCACCCTCTGTGTATCCATCTTACACCTGTTCAACAACGGGGCGTAGGCGCTGGTGTGCATGCTGGCATGTTTCTGTTTCGTTTGTCTGTGTGTGTGCTTGCGTGCATGCTTGCGTGCATGCGTGAGAGCGTGCGTGAGAGCGTGCGTGAGCTTGTTCCCTACTTGTACAAAAAAGCTGGGCATGAATGTTTTTCCTGTTCAAGAAGAAAACATGTCTAGATTCTGCTGCTGTAGATTGGTTCTCCAACATGTACAACAAAAATGCTTTGGTCTGGAGCTATGTTGGAATTGACGCGTCAAGAGTCAATGACTCTAGCGTCAAAACGCTAGAGTCAAGACGCGATGGCCTTTACGACCTCCCTAGGCGCCTTGTCGCAAAGGAGAAGCACGCGGCGTCCTTGGCCCGCCCACGTCACGAGATGGTGCGCGCAATGTCTGGTAGATTGAATGAATGTGCGGCCGCAATAACGGCACTTCGCGCGTTTCCCCTTAACGTTGGGAATGTTGAAAAAATAGTAGTGCTTGTAGGTAGGGTGGCCTAACATTTCCTCATACTGCACCGTGTTACTAGATGCAGCCCCCCGGGCACTTGCATCAACGGTAGGGTCGGATGCTGGTGTGGAAGACGCTAAGGTAACAGAGAAAACAGAGGCACTAGTCTAGTCGCGAAAAAACAGAGCTGAGAATGACTAGCGTGACTGGTTTCTCTAGATTTGGTTTGGTTAGGTTGCCTAGCTGCAAAGCGTTTCAACGTGGATGTGTTGCTGTTTTGTGTTTGTGACTCAATGTCGAGTTAGACTGTGCGAAATCGCGAATGCATTTTTTTTGCGCTGATTTTTTTTTCGGGCTGCCCGAAAAAAAATTCTGCATAGTGTCAAGCGTTTTGACGCGCGTCAAGCGTTCTGCGTCAAAACGCTAGCGTCAAAACACTTGACGCAACCCTAGCTGAGCATCAATTCAAACATAGGTTTGGAGCTCTCGGAGTAGGGAAAAATATGAGAAAGAGGGCAGAAGTGCAGAGTAACAGGAACCGCCAAGCAGCCCCTTGGTTCCTGGGCTGTGTGTGTTGAGAAAGGCAGTTTTTCAAGAGCAAGATTTGAGTTGACTGTGTGGCAGGTGGCTGGATAGTAATCAATTGAGTGGCTCGGTTCCTGAATCCTTGGGGTTAATTGCTCAGCTCAGATCCCTGTAAGTTAAGGGTTACCTCTGCTTTGATATATAGACTGTCGAACCTCAAACACCCCGTTTAAGTTGATAGCCCTCATTTCTCTCCCTTTCATGCATTATCCATTGCCACTAAAACAGCAGACCAGACTTTCCTTCTTGTTCTATCTCCATCTGAAATTCTCATAAGCCCGTTGAAGTTATATATTGTCCATTTGGCTCAAGCGCTTCTGCCTTGGTCTTATTGCGTTCCACTGTTTGAACAGGAGGTTGAACAACACTAGAATGAGTGGAGCTCTGCCAGTCACTTTGGGAAGATGCGTCAAGCTTAAGCAATTGTGTGTCAAGGAAATGAATGCTGAGAGAGATGGGAGAGATGAGAGAGCTGCACTTCGTTTTGTTCTGATTGTTCTTTCATTTTAATGTTTTGTGATATTTCAGCAGAAGCATTGTATGGCTCTAAGGTGCATGGTGCTTGTCAGTAGCCAACCGCACTTCCTTACCTGGCTTAGGGTGCCACATTGCCACATTTATCTCCTCCCTTTCCGTCTCCATTGCCTCTGTCTATCTGTTCACCAAGGCAGCAACACCAGCGCAACATCCTTAGTGTGCCCAGCAGACGGCAGCAGCTGTGGAGTGCAACAGAACAGCACCTCAGCCTTCTACCAGGCTTGCCCTTCCTTCTGTGCCACATGCGGCCAACTAGCATGTGAGAAACGTCTGACTTCAGCTGCTGAATGCTGCAATCATCTCCCCGCTTTCCGTTTCCTCTTTGCACCCTGTTCTTCCTTCTATTTGGCCTGCGGGCGGCACCTTCACGGGCGAGCGACGTAAATGGCATGCCTGAATGTGTGTGTGTGTGTGTGTGTGTGTTTTTTTTTTTTTTTTTTTTTTTTTTGTATTTCCTTTCAAGCACCTCAGCCTGTGTTTCGTGGCTGCCCTTGGCAGTGGCAGCTTGTGCTTCCATCCATTCAGCTGCAAGCAACAAACTCGCCAGTGCACATGAGAGGCAGGAGCGACAGGAGTGGCAGGAGTGTCAGAGAGGGGCATGATAGGCAGGAGTGTCAGGAGGAGTGGCAGAGAGTGGCTGGAGAGGCAGGACAGGCAAAAATTATGCTTTTCTTCTCTTTCAAATACCCCATGTGACTCCTAGATAAATGCCGGCATACGAGGTTACCCTGACGTTTCAAGTGATGCTGGGAGCAGAATGGCGTGGAGCAGTCAACAAATCCACTGTATCGTTCCGTGTACATTTGTTTCTGACCTAGGCTGTATACCTTTTTTTTCTTTCTTTCTTTTCCTTTGTGACCCTTTTGTTTGCGTTTGACCCCAACTGTGCATTCCCAGCCCCACCCCCTCAGACATCACCTTCCCCACCTCCCTCGTCGCCCTCCTCATCATCATACTCTGGGAGTGTCCTTTCCCTTGGAGCCGTTGTGGGCATTGTTGTTGCTGCTGTGGCTGCGGTCATCATTATCCTTGTGGGGGTGGTGCTCGCTCTGAGGCACAGGTGGAAGTGCCAACAGTCCAGAGCAGAAGGTGGGTGGAGAGGAGTGCTATTTGGGAGGCACATTCTGATGTTTGTTTTTGTGGCAGGGTCAACGCATGCAAGTGTTTCTGGGAATTCTCAAAAGGCAATCAGCAGCAAAATGCGGAGGAACATATGTCTGAAAAAGCGCTGGCTATATGCGGTGCTCGCAAAACATGAATGAGCTAAAACGAGAGGTGCTGGCTATATGCCAGTTTGTTTGCACTGAGGTACTGCAACTCTCTTACAGTGGAAGGCCTGGTTGCCTTGGTAGTGCTGACCTTCCGCAGGTTACTCAAGCAGCTATGGAAGGGCACTAAGCAGTACATGCAGAACATGGTATATGCAGGACAAGCTACATGCGGGACAAGCTACATGCAGGACAAGCTACATGCGGGACAAGCTACATGCAGGACAAGCTACATGCGGGACAAGCTACATGCGGGACAAGCTACATGCGGGACAAGCTACATGCGGGACAAGCTACATGCGGGACAAGATACATGCGGGACAGGCCACATGCGGGACAAGCTACATGCGGGACAAGCTACATGCGGGACAAGATACATGCGGGACAAGATACATGCGGGACAAGATACATGCGGGACAGGCCACATGCAGGCAGCAGGACTACATACGAGCGGAAGTAATAGTAGGAAAGGCACACAGCTTCAAGTATAACACAGGAGAGAATAACATGGATATGGGGAGAAAGAAACGTAATTCATGGATGGATTACATCATGGATCAGGTTGGATACACACCTAACCAACCGAAACTTACTACATAACAAGATGAGATGCCAACCAAAAATAGAATTTAACAATATTGCAGCCTCTTTTAAACACTAGCTACATCCATAGCAGATTGCAATGCTACCCGAGATCCCGCAGTAGTTTGTTTCTCCTGTTCATCGAATGCGTATATATCCTGCATATATTCCTCCAGTGCCGTAAACCCCTCCGCCAAAGCTATTGCTTCTATATCCTCCGCACAAGATGTAGTGTTTCTACCTACCGCGAGTTCCACTGGAGCTCTTGCCGTGTTACAAGAGTTCCTCCTCGACAAGGTGTAAGAGGTCACATTGAATTCACTGCTGAGAAGACTCAAACTCAACCCAGCAAGCTGTTACTTCTCCGCCCTATGCATCGCAGGCCTCCTGTCTGCCCTAAGTTCCACTGGAGCCCCCACCTTGTGCCGAGAGTTCTCCCTTGACGACGTGCAAGAGGCCACCGCCCAGTGGTCCAAGGAGAACAAGCTTGGGTCTGGCGCGTTCGGTGACGTTTACAAGGGTGTGTCCCCGCAAGATGACACCTTATGGGCTGTCAAACGGGCTAAAGTTTTTACGGCTGACTTCAAACGAGAGGCAAGTGGTTATCTCTGGATCCATATGCATTCACCACTGTGCGTTTTCTCCTTCGCTTTCATCTCTAACTCAAAACTGGTGGTTGCAGTGGTAACTTCTGAGATCATATAAAAAATGGTGGTTGCAAATGGTGACTTTTGAGATTGTCGCAAAACTGTTGGTTTGCAGACGAAGCAAGCAAATGGCGGGCGAGAACTGCTTTTTATGAAGTTTACAAGATCACTTGGTAGAAAATTCTATAAAAATAATATATAGAGGCACCTAAAAATCCACAAGATGACTCCAACAGAGGATTCCTGAAAATCTCTCCACTACTCTGCAGGTGAAGCAGATGGCGGACAAAAGGCACCCCAATCTAGTGCGCCTGCTTGGGTTCTGCATCGGCGGGGACTTGAATACCCGTCCAGAGCAAGTCCTGATCTACGAGTTTGTTTCCAATGGTGACCTCATGCGATGGATAGGCCCCCGTGAGTATTCTTGAGGTGCCTCAAAACAATTGTGACTTTGCATGATAAGTTGGTCCCCACAAGTGTGGCAATTGTCCTAAAGTGTGCTGCACTTGGGCTTGAGCCTGCAGCTCAGTATTGCAATCTGTTTGGGTTATTTATTAGCTTCTATTTTTCACATGCATATAACGTTCTGATGGAAATATGTCCCATCTTCTCTCCGGATCGCTCCAAGCAGCTCCCATCATCCCACTGTTCCCATCATGGCATGAGCACTTGTCATCAAGACTCGGTATGAATCTGCTCTACAACATTTGTGAGAATTCTTTAACACACCAAGACTTGGTATGATTCTGCTCTGCGGCGTTGTTTTCCTGCCTTTGCTTTGGCTCACAGACGCCCCCTATCGTTTGAGTTTGCAGCAGCGGCTGGACATCCTGATTGGTGCTGCCCGGGGCTTGGAGTATCTCCACAGCTTTGGCATCGTGCATCGCGACATCAAACCCGCTAACATCCTCGTCACCACCGACATGCAGGCAAGCCACCCTACCTTCTTGGATAGAGTGGCATTTTATACATATATGCACACACACATAAACACACACATACGCGCAGGCAAGCCGCCCTTCATCCACATAGATGTATATCAGTATACCTGATAAGTATTCATGTAGTGCCGCCTTGAAATTCATTAGATTGTCTGTCTGCCAAAGCCAAGTATCAATGACACTTGTTGCGAAAGGATGGCTGTCTTACAAATTTCCAATGAATACTGTAGCACATAAGCGTCCCCAGAATTCAGTACTGGACATGCACATGAGGCTTTGTCTCAGCCAAACTAGTCGTGGCTATGGCATCTGTGCATTTGTGCACTCGGCGTTTCTCCAAAGGTCATGTCACTCTGCTGGTGTGAATCCACCCGTGCTCCTCTGACTTTCCATCCAGGCCAAGCTTGCGGACTTCGGGCTTGTGAGAGTGGAGGAAGGGAGCCTCGTGGGGTCCACTCGAGTGGTAGGAACACCGGGCTTTGTGGACCCTGACTATGCCAGGACAGCCAAGGCAACCACCGCTGCAGACGTTTACAGGTATCAGTGGGAAGGGTGTAGGGTATCGGTGGGAAGGGCGTGTGGGGTATTGGTGGGAAGGGTGTAGGGTATTGATGGGAAGGGTGTAGGGTAGGCTTGAGCAAAGGGCGAACGCGGACATGTTCTCGTTCGCCCTTGCACGGACATGGCCGTTAGGTGAACCGAACACTGTTCGGTTCGCCAAACGACTTCCCCAAAAAAGGGTGTTCGGCGTTCGCTTGTGAAGGCGTGTTCGGGCGAACCTCGAACACGTTCGTGTTTGACACAGGGCGTTCTGCAGCAGCACCACGAACACGAACGTGTTCGGGCGAACCTCGAACATGTTCGGGCGAACAATTTAAGCTGAAAAACAATTCGAGGCGAACCGAACAGGTGTTCGTTTCTTTGCTCATCCCTAGTGTAGGGTATTGATGGGAAGGGTGTAGGATATCGATGGGAAGGGTGTAGGGTATTGATGGGAAGGTTGTAGGGTATTGATGGGAAGGGTGTAGGGTATTGATGGGAAGGGTGTAGGGTATTGATTGGAAGGGTGTAGGGTATTGATGGGAAGGGTGTAGGGTATTGATGGGAAGGGTGTAGGGTATTGATTGGAAGGGTGTAGGGTATTGATGGGAAGGGTGTATAGTATTGATAGGAAGGGTGTAGGGTATTGATGGGAAGGGTGTAGGGTATTGATGGGAAGGGTGTAAGGTATTGATGGGAAGGGTGTAGGGTATTGATGGGAAGGGTGTAAGGTATTGATGGGAAGGGTGTAGGGTATTGATGGGAAGGGTGTATAGTATTGATAGGAAGGGTGTAGGTTATTGATAGGAAGGGTGTAAGGTATTGATGGGAAGGGTGTAAGGTATTGATGGGAAGGGTGTAGGGTATTGATGGGAAGGGTGTAAGGTATTGATGGGAAGGGTGTAGCGTATCAATGGGAAAGATTAATCCTTCCCCATTCTGCCTGAGCTAAGCCAGGGGCAAATTCGCGGGCTGCGAGTGATCCATGCCATCACTACCTCCAATCCAGCGTATTGATCAGTGAACCGGTTTCGGCAGTTTGGTTTCCATGCTTGTACCACTCTTGGGTGGCGGATCTGCCTTGCACAATTCGATTTCATATGCAACTTCCGGATATTGTACAGCTAGCTGGTTTCTCTCAATGTCTTTTGATTCGAGCCAGATATATTCAACACTTCCCCGTTTGTTGTGGTTTCATTTCGTGGATATAGTCTAATGCAGCTTAGGAGGTGTGACCCATGTGATGCTCACTAGCAGAGAGTCAGCCTGATGTATTTGACTCTTTATCATTGTGGTTTCATCTCTTCAATGGACCAAATGGATCTACCCATGCCGTGATGCAGCTTTGGAGTTGTGATTCTTGTGGTGCTCACTGGCCGTGGCATCCAGCAGCAAGTCAACAATGAGCCTGAACACATCCTGCAATGGGTGAGCACTTTCGTTTTTAGATACCTTCCCTGTTTGGTGAGCATTCGTTGCATACGGTTACACTCAGCTGGCATTTGGTAGCCTTTGGTGAGAACTTTCTGTTGCAATCTGAACATAATCATGTGCTTCTGGAGGAACAAGGCTCCGTACAAACTATAAGGTAACAATGCATGACTCGACACATGTTTGTCCAATGCCAGTCATGGTTACTGAGATGTCTCAAAACTTCTGAGACGTCTCAATGGTTGTCTCACAACGTCCATCCGTGGTCTCACGCACAAATATATCTCCTTATCCATCAGGCAAAGGAGCAGCTTGCAGCAGATGACAAGTCGCTGCTGAAGGACCCAAGCTTGGACGCACCAGAAACTGCTGTTTTGCAAACTGCTGAGCTGGCAGTGAGTTGCACTGCAGCTCGCACCACCAGCAGGCCTAGCATGGGTACAATCGCGAATAGTCTGAAAGCTGTCAAGGATAAGATCTTGAGCGATCTGACGACTTTGCCATAAAATATATATTTCCACGTGACGACTTTGAAGAGGGACCCATACCGTAGTCATCCGAATAAACCACCCTAGGGTCTTTAGAAAAAGACATTGAAAAATAGGGGTATGTTCTGCCCGGGTGCCTTGATATTACCTTTTTCTGTCTATGGTTTTCGAACTAATCCATGATAGGTTCTATTAGAGGTGGTCTTACATCACGATGTGGGTATTCAGATAGACCTGCTTGCAATTGCCAGGTGGCACATTCTATGCCACTTAACAAATTCAGATTCACCAGCGTGACAGCAGCAAAAAAGCAAGGACGTCAGCAGGTTCTCATGAAGGTAACTCGTAATTTCCTGGGGAAAGTGAAATTTGAAACGCCTTCTTCAAGATTGATTTTACCCGTTAATAGAAAATCAATAAGGGGTGTTAAAATGAATTCGACCAAAAAGGTAGGTATAAAATAAAGAGGCTAAATATGGGTGGGTTTAAGGTCTACCCGCAAACTATCCGGGGCACTACAGTTACGGTGGGTGGCTTATTCGGGTGTATACAGCATAAGCGCTCCATAATTTGAAAAGGTACAACACTCCAGGTCCTCGATTCATTGTTGGCTAGGCTGAATCATCAGCCTAAGGAGTCAAACGTAGGCCAATCAATCAATGTTGCTTTGGAAAGAAGGCTGAAATATCAGAGTTGCCTATAAAAACACATGCGCTGATCAATTAGTGTCATTTACGAAGAAAAAGGCTGAGCCATTTCTAACTAAATGGCAACAACATTGTAACACAAAGTTGTGCATTACTAGCAGGGAATTGCATGCTCTAACTAGCTCACCTCACCATCACTAGATGAACAATCAGTTGCTGCATCTATGTTCTCCTCATCTACCTCCATCCGCTCTTTGCATTTCCAACTGGTGCATCCCGGGGTGGAACTAGGGGCATTGCCCAACGGCTTCCACTTCTTCTAGCTCCTCCCATATCTCAACCACCTCATCCCACTTCGGCTGATACTACAACAGCGACATTCACATTAGGTCTCTCAGCCTCGCATCCTTGATGCTGCTCCAAAGCCACGACTTGACCACATCATGCTGCGAGAACCCCCTTTCGCACTCCACATTGCTCAGGGGAAGACAGCAACCGCTACCCATAGCTGCACGAGATTGGGGTAGCTCTCACACCAATCCGGGGTCTTCAGCATCGCGGTGAGGCCGTCGTGGAACAACCGCTCGCTCTTATGGGCAGCTGCGAGGACGGAGCAAAACATTCGCAGCTCCTTGACTGCCTGCCTGTTTTTTATGCATCCGTGTGTCACAAGGGCTTAGGGAGGGACCAAAAAAATAGTTGGATGTAAGGGCAGATTGGGTATAGAATCTGGGCACGGCGAGACACAAAAAACAGCTTGGCAGATGGATTTCTTACATGGTAGAATTTCGTCAGAAGCCTGGGCCTTGAACAATGCCACCAGGGACTCGAGCCACTCCAGGCATCGTGCATTTCTCTTCGCTTTGTCTTGTGCCAGGAATCAGGCATGAACCGTCGGACTCCTAACAATGAATCCAGATCACCCATCCTCCCATGCATGTTCGACACAATGCTCAGGGCCACTGTACAGCTCCACGGGGTCCTCATGAAGTGTGAACGTGAAAGTGGTAGCCCGACCGTCTGAGTCCAAGACCTCCAAAGTCACATTGCGGCTACACCGTGGGCATTGGCGCTCTAGAAAGGGCAAGAGCCTGTGGCTCATGCACAACTGAAGGACGTAGCGGCTATCGATGTGTGGGGTTATCCACTTGGTCCACGCTGCATAGAGACAAGGTCCAACTGATACAAAAAAGGGATAAATCAGGAGTGAGCTAGTTTGTTCTATCAGTACGTTTCATGCAATTATATACACCAAAACCTGACCTGTTGTTGCTAGAACGTCTTGTTCAAGACGTTTAACTACTCAAGTAGATCAACCAGAAAATAGAGAATAAAAGTGAAAGCGGTAGGAAGTGGCAAGAGCATACATCATGTTGTGGTTCTCTTTCAGCATGACAGTCACGGCTCGAAACACGGAAACGAGTCGCAGAATTGCATCCCCCCGTGTTAGCCAGCGGATCTGGTTACCCCTTTGGATTAAAGCCCGAGTTCCACATGGCTGTTTTCATGTTCAAGTTTCTTGAACTTGACTTCGCCACAAACCATGTTACCAGCTGGGCCACAACAAATCATCGCTTTCATGTGGCAGACGTTATCCATGATTGGCCCGCGACACACTAGTACTACCAATGGGAGGGAGGCCAAGCAACACGATATTGTTCACGGGACCTCTTTGGCAAGCATATTAGAGGCAAAATAGGAGTAGTTTGTCATAATATATTTCCGTATAACTGCATGTAGTTCTAGCTGTAGTGTAGTTATATCGCTGTCCTGCTTGTGGTGCACCCCCTCATTACTTGTCTCTTGTATAACTTGGGCCTTTGGCCCTTTAGTGGAACATTATTTCTTGACTTTTCTCCTTGTCCAACTCCCTCGACATTCAACCCTAGCATGGCTCCTAAGGATGCTCCCATACCCTCCTATCTACTATTCTAACAACCCAGTAGTGCCCTTAGCAAAGCAGACATAGGCGTTAGGCTCAGAACCGTATATTCGCCTCTCGACAGTACGAACGTGTTCCCTTCCTTTCGCTCCCCCCGTCAAATCATCTTAGCCCAATCCAAATGCCCTCAAGGTCCTTGTTTGCTAAGGCAAAATTCTCTGGTCCTCGCTGCGCGGGGCGCTACTATATGATCCCCGCCACCTCTCACTAGCCGAAACGTTGCGCACGTGTCCCCTCGTCGCACTCGTTTCCCCTCGTCGTACTCGTTTTCCCTCGTCGCACTCGTTTCCCCTCGTCGCACTCGTTTCACCTTGTCGCACTTGTTTCCCCTCATCGCACTCGTTTCACCTCGTCGCACTCGTTTCCCTTCGTTGCTACTCAAATTTTCCTAGTGAAACTCTTGTTGTTTTGCCCTGTGAACGTACAAGTGCTAGAGAACGCAGACAGAGCTACGATCACACTTACAACCCGTGCCTATCCTGTAGTCTAGCTGCCACAGTTGTGCAGTTAATCTCCGCAAACAGCGCCATCACTGATTGCGCCTGAGTGCTGTCCC